CCTTCGTTCAGGATCTGTGGTTGCTGCAACCAAACCCCTTTGCATGCTTATTGGGCAGCATGTGGAGGAAACCATGTTCTACATTACCGCAGTGCCTCATTTTCCGGTGGTGCTGGGTTTGGAGTGGTTACAGGCCCATGATCCACAGATTGTCTGGTTGTCTGGAGCTGTGCAGTTCCTTGATAGGAAGTGTGTCAACCATTGCTTGCGCTGTTGTGCAGGTAGTGTGGCTACACCCATGGTCCTGGATCTACCTGCGGAGTTGGTGGACTTTGCTGATGTGTTTGGGGAGAAGGAGGCTGATCAGTTGCCTCCGCATCGGGCGTATGACTGTCCAATTGACTTGTTGCCCGATGCAAAATTGCCGGTGGGTCAGATATATTCCCTGTCAGAACCAAAGTAGGCCGCATTGCAGCATTTTATTGACAAGAACCTCTGGAAAGGGTTTATCCAGCCTTCTACCTCCCCTTTGGCTGCACCAGTGCTTTTTGTGAAAAAGAAATTGGGGGAGCTACGTTTGTGTTGTGATTACTGCAGGTTGAATGCAATCACAGTGAGGAATCGGTACCCGCTTCCCCTCATCCCTGAACTGATTGAATGGCTTCATCAACCTAAGATCTTTACGAAGTTGGACTTGCGTGGGTCCTACAATCTGGTTCGCATTCGTGCAGGGGATGAGTGGAAAACATCTTTCCGGACGAGGTACTGGCATTTTGAGTATACCGTGATGCCTTTTTGATTAACGCGTGCCCCAGCTGTGTTCATGCATTTTATGCATGATGTTTTCCGTGATTTGTTGGATCAATTCATGGTCATTTATTTAGATGACATTTTAATTTACTCAGACTCCCTGCAGGAACACTGGCAACATGTGCAGCTGGTGTTGCAACGTTTGTGTGAAAACCACCTGTTTGCTAAGCGTGAGAAGTGTCAGTTTGCACAAACCATGATTGACTTCTTGGGACATCGTATTTCACCTGCCGGGGTGGAAATGGACCCGGAAAAAGTACAATCATTGCAGGCGTGGGAACCTCCACAGCAGGTTAAGGATGTGCAACGACTGTTGGGGTTTGCGAACTACTACTGCACATTTATTCCCCGCTTAGCTGCCTTGACTGCTCCCCTTTCTAATCTGCTCAAGAAGGGGGAGAAGTTCCATTGGGGTGCTGAGGAGCAGGCAGCTTTTGAGGCGTTGAAAGTCGCCTTTGCTTCCGAGCCTATCCTCAAACACCCTGATCCAGGCCAGCCATTTGTGGTGGAAACAGATGCTTCCAATGTGGCTGTTGGTGCAGTGCTCCTCCAGGCCTATGCTCCCGCAGGCACCTTGTTCCCATGCGCTGATTATTCCCGGAAGTTGTCGGCTCTAGAGTGCAACTATACGATTTGGGACAAGGAGCTATTGGCGGTTAAGGTCGCTTTTGAGACATGGCGGCACCACCTGGAGGGGGCTCGTCACCAAATTGAGGTTTGGACGGATCATCACAATTTGGAACACCTACGTACAGCTCGGACGTTGAACCAGCATCAGGTGAGATGGTCCTTATTCTTTGCTCAATTTGATTTCCGGGGACCTATGTTCCGAATGGAGGGAATCAATGTGTCGACACTCTATCTCGGAAGCCCGAGTATACCCGAAGGGAGGATAACATCTTGCCCACTTGGATGGTGATTCCGTTGGAGTGGTTTGCGGCCACCGAGGAACCTGTGGACCTCCGAGTGAGGATTCAGGAGGTGCAGCGGCAGGACCCATTTGTGACAGCTCGACGTCGAGAATTGGATGAGAATGGGAGACAAGAGACGTATATTGGGGACCTGTTGCAGTTCCGTGATCGCATTTATGTGCCTGGAGGTCCTCTTCGTTGCCTTATCCTACGTCAATGTCACGATAGACGGCGGCGGGACACTTTGGGGTGTTCAAAACACTGCACCTCATCTCTAGGCCTTTTTGGTGGCCGAGACTTAAACATGATGTGTCGGGATATGTGGCGTCCTGTGGGATCTGTCATCAAGCCAAGTATGCTCCTGGTGTGCCCCCTGGTCTATTGCAGCCCTTGCCCATGCCAGAACGACCATGGGGGGCAGTTTCATTGGATTTCATTGTTGAGTTACCACCATTGAATGGTGCTACAACCATTTTGGTGGTGGTGGATATGTTGACTAAAATGGCCCACTTTTTTCCGTGTGCAGGTCTTCCATCGGCCAAGATAATGGCTCAATTGTTTATCTCCCATGTTTTCCGGTTGCATGGGTTACCAGACCGCATGGTATCAGATCGGGGGGTACAATTTACGGCACGCTTCTGGCAGACCCTACTCACGAAACTGCAGGTTCAGGCATGTCTGTCGTCTGCTCATCACCCCGAAACTGATGGGGGGACAGAGAGAGTGAATGCTATTTTGGAGCAGTACCTCCGCTGTTTTAGCAATACTCAACAAGACAATTAGGTGGAAGTGCTGCCGTTGGCAGAATTCGCTTATAACAATGCTCAACATGCATCCACCCGTATGTCCCCTTTCTTTGCTAACTATGGGTTTCATCCACGACTTTTCCCTTTAGCCCCATCTGATTCCCCAGGTCCGGCAGTGGATACATTTTTGCAGGAGTTAAAAGCTGTGCACCACATGGTCTGCGATCAACTAGAGAGAGCCAAGAAAGACTATAAACGGTTTGCAGACCGACATTGTCACAATGTTCCACCTTTAGTGGTCGGCGATCAGGTTTGGCTCTCTACTTGATATTTACCAACGACGCGACCATCAAAAAAGCTCAATCACGGTTAATTGGGACCTTTTCCAGTCGAGGCAGTGATCAATCCTGTGGCTTATTGTCTCTCCCTGCCACGGGCCATCCTGTTTTTCATCGTTCCCTGTTAGTCCCTGTCTCGGCCAACAGTCCGCATAGACCGGCTCCATCACAGCCGGCCCCAGTAGCCCATCTGGGAGAGGAGGAATACGAAGTGGATAGCATCCGAGATTCATGCCAGTTGCAAGGCTGATTTTAGTATTTGGTGGCATGGAAAGGTTATGGACCAGAGGACTTCACCTGGGTTGATGCCACTGATGTTCATGCTTCTCGTTTGGTCCAGGACTTTCATGCTCGGTTTCCTCAATGTCCTCATCCGCCTGGTCCCGGGGAGGGGGCCCTGCGGGGGGATAGTGTTATGCCCCTGGTGGAGACTGACTCTGAGGAAGAGGAGGAACAGCCAACAGGGAGTGGGAGTGTTGCTCCAGAGGTGGTGGAGGAGGCTGGGGAAGGGCAGAGGCCAGCTGAGCAATCAGAGGAGGATCCAGGCCCATCCCCTATCCATCCTAGGTCACGCAGGGAGGAGAGGATCAGGGAAAAGCAAGGTCTACTCAGGAGGAGATTACCATGATCCTCCTCGTGGCTTGCAGGTGGGAGCTATGTATATAAGTTTGTAACTAGGTAGTCAGAATTGCTGGAGTCAAAGTTCCCACTTGACAATGAATAAAGATTAGACAATTTAAGTTTTATAATCTTCCTAATTACAGTTCTCATATGCTCTACTTGGAATATTTGGCTGTATTTGATTAGATGGGATAGGCAGTTTTGTTCTTCAGTTTTGTTTGTATAAGCCTGGTATCTATAAGCGCTTATTGGTTTTGTCTTTTTGTCCTTGTTCCCTCATGAGCTCTTCAATCTCGTTCTTCTTATTTTGGGTTGGGGAATCCCTTTAAGCCCAATCTTTAGTCATAATTACCAAAAATGGATTTGTTTCAAGGCTAGACACAAATTTTGTCAAGAACTCTCAATCTCCTGGGTTTTTTTCTGATTCCTTTTCAATTATATCAAACTGACTTCTTCAACTACCATTAAGGATATCATATTTGGCCTGGAAACAGGTACTCATTCAACAAACACTTACTCATTCAGGGACCAAAGTTACAATGGCAGTGAAGGTGGGGTATTTTTGGTGGGCTCTCATAGTTGTAGCTGTCACAGCATCCTGTAATCATGTAATTGCCAATTGTGACTTTCACTGCTGGCCAAAGATAGCCGACTTGGAAGCCAACAGGAGGTAACAAATGGCAATCATGTGACTGCTGATTGTGTGGAATTCCCCTAATGACAGCAACTGGGATTGCCAGAACTGCAGCGTAAGTCAGTTACAGTCACATGATATCACATCTTATGACCGTTTAGTGACCAAGGTCCCCATCCCAATTACCGTTGGCAAGTGAGGACTACCTATAGAGAAAAGAGATTGCAGCAAAGCATTAATTTTTTTTCTGCATCTGGTTTAGGCTTTCATGGCCTGTATCAGTTGGGCAGTGTTGAGCTGTAGTGTTGATTGTCAGGATTTAGTGATCACAGTCGAGACAATGTATTTCCTGATCTTTCGCCTGGCTGGCATCTTCAGATGTAAGATGGTCTGCTAAAACAGCGGTTCCCAACCTTTCCGGTTTTGTGGACCAGTGGGGGAGGGAGGGGATGATTCTGCGTGAGCAGTGGGCGTGTACTCCATTTGCACAAGTTGCGTGCATGTGTGCTCCCGCCACTCACACAAATGGAGCTTCGTGCTTGCACATGTTTGCCTACTGCTCACACAAGTGGAGCTACGCACCAGCTTGCCCACCGCTTCCACGGCCTGGCTCCAAATGGCTCATAGGCAGGTAGTGGGCCACAGTCCGTGGGTTGGGTACCCCTGTGCTAAAACAAACCACAGAGGACTGAGCAGGGAATACAGGGATTGACTGGGCTCCTGTCAGGCGGTCTGACCTTTAATTGATCTTTAGCCAAGCAGGTGTCCAATTGGTGCAGCAGGTCAGTGAAGTTGGGTCTCTGGTTCTCTGTGACCAATCCTGATCAGTAATTTTTAGAGTGCTGATTCCTCATTGGTCCTTTTTTATTTTTATTGGATTCTGGTTTTCTGTTTCTCTATGCTGCCATCTAGTGGTTATGATCGTCCTGATTTCTATACAGTATTCTACCATTGTTCAACTTAAGTTTTAATATTTTTATTTTATTTTTTAATCATCCAGGTCCTATATTTTGGGAAGAAGAGACTTAAAAGCCAGCAAAGATCAAAAAGCCAATTCTCCAAAATGTCATACAGACAAGGTTTAGAGAAGTACCGAGATCTAGATGAAGATCAGATCCTTGGAGCACTGACAGAAGAGGAAATCAAGATTCTAGAAGATGAGCTACTGGAACTCGATCCAGATGTAAGTGCTTTAAAAGAATAGTTTGTTAAAAAATATTTGGGTTTTTTTTTTAGTGAGTTTTAATCATGATTAAATTTAACTTCCAGTTTTGAGCAGCAGATAGTGGGAGCAAAGAATAAAGCAAAGAAATACAGGTAGTTATGATGTTCATACTGCAGAGAGTTCTTGGTTAACAACCACTCATTTAGTAAACATTCATTGAACAGAGTGGTGCTTATGATCAGTCCTGGAAGTTCCAGCTACTCTAGTACCCATATTGTCATGTGATTACCACCCAGGTCCTTAGAAACCAGCTCACACTTGTGATGGTTGCAATATCCTGTGGTCATGTGATTGCAATTTGTGACCCTCCCTGCTGGCATTGCATAAGCAAAACTGGCAGGGAGGGTCGCAAGTCACTTCTGCAAGTTGTTCCCACTCGGACTGCTTTTTCTCCTGAGGAGTCCTGCTGTGGAATACAAGATCCTGGGGAATCTCATTTTCTTCACTCTGTGGAGCACACCTGCCTGCACACCCATACTTACACCAAGCTGCAGCATCTCTCTGCCCCCCTGCAGTAATACTGCAGCAGCCACCTGCGTGCCTTCCCACATTCCACAGTAGCCACATGCCACAGCAGAACATTATTGGAGAACCAAGAGAAGTGAAGCTAATTCAGCATGAGCTAGAGCCAAAACAATATTAAGGACTACCACATGGCAGGAAGTATGGCAAAGCATTGTTCCTTTTTTCCCCCCTTATTGAATTTGCAGATAGCCACCTGTTGGCCCTGTTTCAAGTGGTACAATCCCTTCTGTGGAAGTATGGTTGGAGATTCATTTACAAGGCCACTATAAGGAATATAGCAATAGCACTTAGACTTATATACCGCTTTACAGTGCTTTACAGCCCTCTCTAAGCGGGTTACAGAGTCAGCCTATTGCCCCCAACAATTTGGGTCCTCATTTTACCCACCTTGGAAGGATGGAAGCTTGAGTCAACCTTGAGCCTGGTGGGATTTGAACTGCCAAAATGTAAGCAGCTGGCTGCAGCTGAAGTAGCTTGCAGTACTGCACTCTAACCACTGCACCACAGAGGCTCCTATGCTAGGTAGCTAATGGATAGTATGACTAATATTCATTCCAAGCTGGACCAACCTTGATGCAGGTCCATGGAGTTTACTGAAGTTTAGTTTTGCTTGATTATCTAGGCTGAATTTGATCCTATTGGTCAGTGCTGTGAGCTTGACCATCTCCGGTGTTAGATCCTGGTTAGCCAAGGCTTCTCAAAGGATGTGTGGTTGGGTCTGGGCAGTGAGAGAGTTTAAAGAATAGCGGTCTGTTTCTTCCTGAAGTTGTCATAAGTAGACCCAATGCTGCAGCTTCAGAAAGTCCTGGAGAAAGCAGATTATTCCCCTTTTAGTCATGTTTCAGGCCCATGTATGGAACCAAAAGAACATTGAGTGCACTTGGGGATGACCACTGAAAGGAGGAGGATGGGGGTAATGTACCTATTCTTATTTCAGTGATATTGAAAGCCATCTGTTCATGGCTTTCAGGATCACTGATCATGATATCCTTCTGGACTGGTTCCAAAGGTTAGGAATTAGGGGTACAATTTTGTACTGGTTTTCTTCCAGCTTCGTTCTAAGTTGCAGTCTCTGTTGATGGGGGCGGGGTACAGCCCATGTCTTATTTTGAGTGGAGACCCCCAGGGAGACCCCCACTCTCCTTAACATCTAGAATGAAGCCACTGTTGAGGTCATTCAATGACACAGGGTGAGGTGTCATCAATATGCTTGGTATTATATCTCCAGGCCAACCAAGTGATTTTTGTGGAAATTCTGTTTTGGTGTCTGGAGACTCTGGGGAAGAATAGGCTTACGCTCAACCCTAACAAGATTGAGTGGCTGTAGATTTTAAGGTCTCCCGGACTGATGATTTCCAATCTGGATGTGGAGACGTGTACTTCCCCAAACACAAACAGTGGGGAGTCTTCCTAAATTCACAGCTGCTATTTGAGAATTAGGCAGCAATGGAGGCCAGGAAGGCTTATTCACAACTTTGTGTTCTGTGCCAATTATGTCCCTTCCTGGGTCAGCTGATACTGTCCATGATCAGTCATGCTTAGTCATCCCTTGAGCAGATTAATATGTTTTTCATGGGACTTCAAGGTGCCACATGCATTGTTTAATTAAACAAATGGGATTCTTCTAGAAGAACATCCAGAAACTGCAATTGATCCAGAATATAGTGGTACAAGTGATTATGGATGTTTACAAGTTGCGCTGGATCCAAATATACTTCTGGCTGTATTTCCAATAATTCATTGGAAAATGCCAAACTGTTATGTGTTTTATTTTTTATATTATGTATTTTACATATTTTAGTTAATCTGCTTTCTTGTTTGTATGTGTGCCTTCAAGTCAGTGTTGTCTTATGGTGACTGCCTGGACTTATCCCTGCAGTTTTGTTGGCAAGGTTTTTCAGAAGTAATTTGTTGTTGCATCCTTCCTATGGCAGAGAGAGAGGAACTGATCCGAGGCCATCCAGTTGGCTTCATGCTTAAGGCAGGACTAGAATGTCCAGTTTCCCAGGTATATACACCCTTAACCACTATACCACAATGGCTCTAGAACTATAAACTACCTAGAATCATGTAAAAATGAGATGAGCATCTATATAAATGAATGAATTCAAGGTGCTGGTGGTTTCCTATAAAGACCTTCATGGCTGGGCCTGGATGTCAGGCTCACGGGGTACACATGTTAGCTTTGCAGGATAGTTCAAACAGAAGTACCACCAAAAATACTAGCTTTATCTTTATTATAAGATTACATTAACAAAATCTTACACCAGAAGCACGTTTTCATCAAAAAAAGATGGTGGCGCCAGCGCTTCCGGTGAGCTTTTCCGGGTAGAAAGCTCACCGGAAGCACGTTTTCATCAAAAAAAGATGGCGGCGCCAGCGCTTCCGGTGAGCTTTTCCGGGTAGAAAGCCATTTCTACCCGGAAAAGCTCACCGGAAGCGCTGGCGCCGCCATCTTTTTTGATGAAAAAGTGCTTCCGGTGAGGTCACCGGAAGCACTTTTTCATCAAAAAAAGATGGCGGCGCCCAGCTGATGCCGGTACCGGGCCGCGGCGTAAAAAATGTTGGGGATCACTGTCTTACACGACTGAAAGTACTTCTATTCCTCACTTTTCCTCACCTGAAAACTCGATTGGGGTAACTAGATTCCTTCAGATATGCTTTCACCACTCTCCTCCTTTGATCTCAAAATTTCATTTGTCAGACTGCTATTTAGGCTGCAGCTCTTTCTTCTCCCAAGGCCATTCCCATATATCTTTGCAAGATCGGACTAGGAAATCAATTCCACAGGAAGTATAGAAGGATACTTTATAATATAATATCAGAATCTTGCAAGTCTGACTGCTTTTTCTCTTCTTTTTTTAAACTTCATCAGTCAGGGACGGCCAGCCTGAGTTTCTGTAGGAGAGAGAGATTGGCAGAGCCAGAAGGAGGAGTCAAGTGAGGCATCAGTTTTAAGTTGCTATGTAGTTGCAAGAGGACAAAGTGCAACCACTCTTGAATGCCTTTGATCCTTAACTAATTTTACCCAGGTTCAAATTATTAGTCTGTGAATCTTCCTGTGCATAAGCTTGAGCAATAAATCAGAACTTTCAGGTGTGGACCTGGTTGTCTCTACCTAGTATCTTTGTTCCGAGAACTTAAGAAATGTTTTTGTCCTTGGACAAAAAAATTTTTTTTAACCATTTTGGAATATTTGCTTCAAGGCCACCTTCCTGTCTCTCTATGTTAGTTTATCTGTGGGGCTTTTTCTTTCCAATGGACTCCAGCTGACCCATCAGATTTGGCAGAAGGGGCATGGTCTTGGTTCCATTGATTAGAGAATATTCTCTTGGCAGGATCCAGGAAATGTATGTTGTCTATTATAGCCCCTACCCTTTGGATCACTGTACACTTGAGATTAATTTGGCCCTGACTCTGCTGGAGTAGACTGTCTACTATTGACCTCACCCCTTTCCTAAGAGGCCTGTAGGGAACGTGCATAAATGCACCAACGTGCCTACCGTCCCTGTCCTATTGTTTCTTATATATTTTTCTTATATGTATCCATGTCATGTATTCATAACTATGTTTATACTTATACCTGTTATCTTATAATCGCTTGACAAAATAAAAATAAATAAAATAAAAACAAATAAATAATTTGGCCCTGACTCTGTTGGAGTTTTGAGAAGCCCTTAAGCCTTGGCTGTTTTCCCAGAGATGGAGAATGGGAGTTTAGTTGAACCCATGGAGGATTATTTGATTAGTTTCTTCTCTTATCTTTAATGCTATTTGCTTTTGGTTTGTTTTCCTTAATATTTGTTATTGTTATTCTCTGTATATATTTTAAATGTTAATTTGGTGGTCAATTGAACAAAACAAACTTTTTCTTCACATATATTATGATTTTGTGAATGCTACTCTAAATCAATAGCTAGACACTGCCAGCGTGTGGGTGTTCAGTGGGATTTCATTAAAAAAGATAGGGTGATGGATGATGATCATGGAGCTTGAATGTTTTTCCTCCTTTCTCCAAACTATAGAATGCAATATTACCTGCAGGAATGAGACAGAAAGATCAGACCAAGAAAACACCCACAGGCCCTTATAAAAGAGATGTTCTTCTGGCACATTTGGAGAAGCAGGCAAATGACACTAAAGACCGAGATGATCTGGTTCCCTTCACTGGGGAGAAAAGAGGTAGGAGATACACATCTAGAGTACTGTGCTTCTCATACTGATAAACTTAAAGATATTCTTAAGTACATCCCAAAACCAGAATGGGACAACTCGCCCTGGCCAACTTGCTGTAGCCAACTCACAAAATTTGCCATGGTCAATTCGCCACAGCCAACTTGTCACGGGACAATTCAACAATTTTATTTAATTATTTAAAACAATTAAAAAATATTTTAATTTTTGTCATTCACATTTCATTGTGTCCCTCCTTTTGCATCCTTTCTTTTTAATGACTCTTTCCACCATTTCTTCAATATTATGTAATTTTTGTCCCGTGGCAAGATGGCTGTGGTAAATTGTTTTCTGGTGAGTTGGCCTCAGCAAGGATAGGATAGGATAAGATAGGATAGGATAGGATAGGATAGGATAGGATAGAATAGAATAGAATAGAATAGAATTCTTTATTGGCCAAGTGTGGTTGGACACACAAGGAATTTGTCTTGGTGTAAATACTCTCAGTATACATAAAGAAAAGGTACATTCGTTAAGAATCAAGAATCATAATGTACAACACTTATTGATATTCATAGGGCACAATCAACAATCAAATCATACTAGGAAACAGTCAAGTGGGAGGGGATGGGTGATATGGAGTGGTGAGAAGATTAACAGTAATAGTAGTGTACACTTTGTAAATAGTTTGAACAGTGTTGAGGGAATTATTTGTTTAGCAGAGTGATGGCTTTCGGGGGGAAAACTGTTCTTGTGTCTAGTTGTTCTGGTGTGCAGTGCTCTATAGCGTCGTTTTGAGGGAAGGAGTTGAAACAGTTTATGTCCGGGATGTGAGGGTGAAGTTGGCCATGGCATGTTGGCGACTATGTGTTAACTGTGGTGAGTTGTCCTAGACCCCCCCCAAACCGACTCCCATAGCAGCTTAACTTGTATTTTATGTTTGTGTTGTCTTTTACTTTAAAACAGCCCCCCCCCCCCCAACGTGGCATCTTTAAGACTTGTGGATTTCAAGCCGAATGAATAGGCTGAAAAATAGCTTTTATCTGTGGGCTGTCAGACTTCTGAACGCAACATAAACACCACAATTAGGTTTAATATGATCAACTTGCAGGGCCAGCACCAAAGAGGCTCATTTCAATTTCATTGTAGACATGTTGTGCATTGACAATAAACGTTTGATTTATTGATTGATTCAACTCCCAGAATTCTGGGAGTTGAAGTCCACAAGTCTTAAAGTTGCCAAGTTTGGGGACCCCTGCTTTAAAGCAAGCCTTTCTTCAATAACTTTGGCCTTTCGTTCCTCTACCCTCATGAGAAAAGGAGCAGGTGCTTCAGCGTGAGCCTAAATTTAGTCTTGCTCCACCAACAAGCTGGACTGCCTGGTCCTTGCCCTTTGTTTCGTGCCATTTCATAGGAAGCAGGAACAAAAATAGCTCCAGTGTCACATTCCACGCCTGGAGCGGTACTTTTCTCTCCCCATCCCCCACCCACCCCCATTCGACTGCCCTGTTTTATTAAAAAAAGGAACCCCTTTCCTTATGTTTGTTCTATTTTGTGTCTTGCTTTCACGCTTTCTATTCCAAAAAAATAAACAAACTCCAAACCAGACTTTGTCCTTTTTTCCAAGAAAAAAGTTGGCAAAAGAAATACAAAAATATTCTAATTTTGTCCTTTCATAATCTTTATTTTCCCTTTGGAGTAAAGATAGCATTTCCACCACTGCATACACACATTTCTTTTGTTCTGAGATTTAAAAAAATAAAATAAAGCTCCATTGCTGAACTACCAACACTAATACTATTTTCTCACTAATTTTGCAACTTATTGAGCTGACTTTTAGGGGTATTTTGTGCTGCACCTTGATTGGCCTTCTCCGGGCACCAAAATTAAACAAGGCTAATACTCCAGAGAATCCCAGGGCTAGACTAGAAAGGGAATCCAGAAAAGGCCATTGCAAACCCTTCTTATATTGTTGCTAAGAGAGCTACATAGATACGTATTCATCAGCAGTCAAGCACTATTCAAAGTAAATTTTGGGCATTTTCATCCACAGCAGCAATAAAGCACTTCAGAGTCTTGTTCATTAATCATTGAAGTGACATAAAGCCTCTCTTTGTTGCTGTTATTTGGGCACAAAATGGTTGAAAGAGTGTTAAAGTTGCTGTAAGTTGCAAGTGGAAAAAATGTCTTTTAGCTTTACCTTATGTAAAACAAATAGAACATTACTTTTAAAAGTGTGTGTGAAAATATAAAGAAGGAATTTGGTTTCCTGTTGAAAGAGCCAAGCCTGAATGAGCACATCCTGCAATAAATCACAATTTGGAGAAAGGCCTGGGTGGGATATCACCGAAGGTGCCAGGCCCCCCGAAGGCATGCTCTGATTCTGTGCCATTGCTATTTTAAAATGAATACTAGTCACAGTTAGGCAGCCTTAGAAGTAGGATGCTAAAAAATATAATATGATTTTGCATTAACATAAACTGATGTAGAATCACATAAAATCCAGCCTCTGCTACTTTTAAGTGTAAGGTTAGCAATCACGCTGTGAATCTTGAAACCTGATATAAATAACACACACACACAGAGAGAGAGTAAGGCTTTTATTTAGTATGCTATGACTGTCACTCAGTGTTGTATCTATGATTTATGAAGATTGTATTTTAAGATTATGCTTATCACTTGTTGCTTGTAAGTACCTTCAGAGCTTATACACCAGAGACAACTTCCTCGTTTGTCCAATCACACTTGGCCAATAAAGAATTCTATTCTATTCTATTCTCCTATGAGTTATTAGTAGGTAGAGAGGATGATTTTAACTGGGGAGGGGAGAGTTTAACTTCCCCTTTTCATACAACAGAGTTTCATTGCCAATGCCTCTCTCCCCCTTCTTTTAGAGCAGGGGTGTCAAATTCGCTGCCCACAGGCTGGATATCTCATATGCTGGCCCCAGCCCTGCCCGGTTTAGCGAAGGGGGAAAAAGTCCTGATACGTCATGTGACACTGCTGTGACAACGTGAATTTGACACCCCTGTTTTAGAGTCTTGAAATGTTAGAAACTATGAAAGAACCTTAGGTAGGAGAGTAAAATGTATTGATTTATTTGTTTATATTTCACCTTTATTGTTTATACAAATAATTCAAAGTGGTGAACATGTTCAATTAAGGTAAAGGTTCACCTCACACATACATGCTAGTCATTTCTGGCTCTAGGGGGCCGTGCTAATCTTCATTACAAAGCCGAAGAGCCAGCACTGTCCAAAGACGTCTCCATGGTCATGTGGCCGGCATGACTAAATGCCGAAGGCGCACGGAACGCTGTTACTTTCCCACCAAAGTGGTCTCTATTTTTCTACTTGCATTTTTACATGTTTTTGAACTGCTAGGTTGGCAGAAGCTGGGACAAGTTAATGGGAGCTCACTCTGTTACGTAGCGCTAGGGATTCGAACCGCCAAACTGCCAACCTTTCTGATCGATAAGCTCAGTGTCTTAGCCGCTGAGCCACCATGTCCCTTTTATATTCAACATACCTTCTTCCTATTATCCCCACAACAACAACCCTGTTGGGCTGAGAGAGAGTGACCCACCCAAAGTCACCCAGCTGGCTTTCATGGCTGAGGCAGGACTAGAACTCAGTTTCCAAGTTTGGTGCCTTAACCATTAAACTAAAATGTATCTAATTGCCAACCTTCTGAAATGGAGCTGAAGCTGTTACCACTTCATGTATTTATAGGAAAAATCTGGGTCCCCAAGCAGAAAGCTATTGATCCAGTTTTGGAAAGTGTAACTCTGGAACCAGAACTGGAGGAAGCCCTGGCAAATGCTTCCGATGCTGAACTCTGCGATATTGCTGGTAAGATGCAAGAATGAATGTATTAGCTTTGTTGTTGTTGTTGCTGTTGCAATTATTCTAAAAGGCTTTGTGTTCTCGGCATTAGGGCCAATTTTAAAATTTGGAACTTTTAAATAAAAAAAAAATAGATTTCAAAAAGTCTTAGGATAATTTGTGCATGAGAGAATCATGCCAACTGCAGGATCAGGTGTTGGGTGGGGGGGAAGAGTCCAACTGCAGGATCAGGTGGGGGGGGGAAGGGCCCAACTGCGGGATCTGGGAGGGGGTGGTCTGTTTGGAGACTGAAAGGAAAATCCTTCGTAACACCTTTTTTTTTTTTTTTTTTTTTGCCTGGGGCATTTACATTGCTCTGGCTTTGATTTGCCACCCTTTAACATTTAACAACCTGTTTCCTGAATAAACAAATGCTCAATAGTTACAATAGCACTTCAGGAGAACTTAAGACGCCAGACTCCTTCCTAATTTCCTAAGAGAAAAGTTTGTTTCTGATGGGGACCTCTAGGTATTTGATAAGCTGAGGGTAGTTGATTCTTGCCTTGCTCCTAGTGCCTGTTGGGTTCTTGGGAAGGAAGGGAGGGAGCAAGTATGGATAGGTGAGGGCCTGGGTGTGGTTTCTGGTGACAGGAATCTTGGGTGCTGGGCAGGGCCTTAGCAGCAGCTAAATCTTCATCACAGCGGTGCTTGCAAGGGGTACAGTTGCAGGGGATAAAGTAGAAGTTTTTAAGACTTTCCCTCCCAGAGAATCACTGCCTGGAATTCCGGCAGAGAGGCAGCAACTGACTTGCATGATGGTAAATATTCATCTTGTGAACACGGGATTTCCCCCCCCCCCCCCCAAAAAAAACCCCGGAGAAGCAATGGAGGCTCCAGACTTCACCTCTCATTGAACTATGCCTTGGATATTCACACTCCCTTAAACACACACCATCCCACCTGTAAGCACACACCCTCGAAGAAGTAATAGGTGAGAAAAAGAAACAAGACCACTTAAAAACCAGCTTTTATTACTCTATTTGATAATTGTGTGCAATGGCACACAAATAATCAATAGGGTTTCAGTTGCCATATTCACCGACAATCCGGAAAATCCGTTGCGGTATTTCTTCCGTTTCATTGGAGGACTGTGTCCTGATAAGAGTTGTTCATGAAATGCATCCATGCCTCGTTGAACCTTGAGTAGGCCATCTATAAATTTCCAAATGGTTGGTTGACACGTGCCCTATTGTGCTCGGCACCTTCGATAAGCTGCTTCCGAGTGATTGTTTATGCCAGGGGTGCTGGCTGAGGAGCTGTGTGAGTTGAAGTCCACAAGTCTTAAAGTTGTCAAGGTTGGAGATCCCTGGTTTATACAATCCTCTGCCATCTGTGCTCGCTGGAAAAGATACATTGCTGTTGGGAACAAAGATGGCTGTCCTCCATGCCCCCCCCCCCCCCGCCCCGCAGGACAGCCAACATAGGTATTCTCAAACCAGTGTAGGAGGCGAAGCAGCTATCCCTGAAGATAACTTTCCAGAGCAGTAAAGTATTTATCCAAGTCTGGGACAGATACGAAAGCCAAAGCCACAACCATTTTTGTCCTCACAGCGAACTCAGTGTCCGTTTTGTACTCATGTGTGGTTCCATCTCCAACCAAATGCTTCCTCATATTTTGTGCTTGATGAAAAAAGCACTTTTCAAAAAAGCACTCTTTCTGGGAAGCATTCCCTAATGGCATTCATGGCAGCCGATTCAAAATCACAGCGAATGGAACGCGGCTGTGTGTCAGGCACCAGGTTTTTAACAAACTCAGCCGGCCTTTCATAGGTAGTACGTTGTTTTATTGGTAGAAGTGCATTATAACACAGGATGCACTCCCTCACATTTCTTGGCTAGGATGACATGCACCCGTGCAAAGAGTTTTGGAACTATGACAAAAGTCCCATCTACATACCAGGTATCGGATGACTGCAAGATGTCCAACCAAGTCCTTCTGCCAAATATTAGGATCTTCTTTGACCCCTCTCCAAAATTTCCTAGTAGGAAAGGCTCTTGCAAGCCAGGAGTTGGTGAGTATGTCTTGTATTCCTCAGGTAAAATGAGGTGATCAAGGCTTACTGGGTCTGAGGGTCCTGCCCGTATTTAGTTCCTTTTTCTGCAGATGTTTTTTCGCACTGCTGGGGTCGCTGGTATTGCAGGGTAGACTCTGGGCTCACATTGGCCAGACACATCTTGATAATTTTGGATGCGCCTTCCACTGTCTCCTCCTCTGCCTGCCGTTTCATGCTGCTCAGCAAACGCACCACTTCCACAGGCTGTGCTGATGCGTGTGTGTGTGTGCGCACGAATAAATGCTCATTGATTCTTTTTATTACTTCTCCAAATCTTGTGTGAATTCTGGCACTGCATCTATCACGCTGCTCACAGTGCCAAAAAGTAAGGCAAGAATCAACCACACTTAGCTTCTCAAATACATAGAGGTACCCATCAGAAACAAACTTTTCTCTTCCTTTCTTGCTTGCTACGGTTACATCCGTCTCGCAGGCAGAAGTCTTCTTACCAGCAGTGACACAACAGTGAGTGCTTGTTGTCCCCAACGAATGCAACGTACAGTATTTTATTGGCTTCACATGTCAGTGTTGGGGTAGTGGTCTGAGTTACGTGGAATGGTGGTGACTGACCAGAAGGAAAATCCTTTGTAGGTGTGGATAATTAGGAGGAAATCTGGTGTCTTTTAAGTTCTCCTGAAGTGCTGTTGTAACTGTTTAGATGCAGCATTTGTTTATTCAGGAAACAGGTTGTTAAATGTAAAGGGGAGGCAAATCAAACCCAGAGCAATGTAAATGCCCCAGGCAAAGGTGCTACAAAGGATTTTCCTTTGAAGGAGTCTTCAAACATCCTCCATCATTCCATGTAACTCAAAGACTTCCCTAGGAACCTCAGTTTGCATATCTTGACATCAAGATATACAGATGAAATGGGAACAGTTGAGGTTGGGGAGATAAAACAGTCCCCCTTTGCACATGAAGAGAATAGTCAAATAAACTAATATTCTGCTCCCCCCAACCCCCCTCAACCTGATCCTGCAGTTGGGCTCTTCCCTCCGTTCCTTGTGCAGTTTACAAGATTCTGTAATTACCCCAGACTAACATTGAAGTTCCTGAAATATATGTAAGTCTTGCTTCCTTGATCTTGTTCAGCTATGTGGAGTTTGACACACTTATATATTCCAGTATTGGCAGATCAAATCCCACCACCAGGCTCAGGTTGACTCAGCCTTCCATCCTTCCGAGGTGGGTAAAATGAGGACCCATATTGTTGGGGGCAATATGCTGATTCTGTCTTGCCCACCAAGCCACGCCCACCGAACCGGTGGTAAAAATATTAGAATCCCATCACTGATTATGGCCCCATACAATATGTGAAATCAGACTATAACATGATACCAGTGGCTCTTATTTGAAAGGAAGTCTAATGAAGGCTTTCTGTGTGTGTGTGTATGTGTGTGTGTTATTGTTTTCACTCTCCTTGTACTGACCAGATTTATATTTCTTCTTGCTGTAACTGGAGTTGGACAACAGAGTAAGCAGCTGAAGGCTTCATAGGCTAAAGTTTCAATTACTCAGTTTGCAAGATGCAAATATTTGGCTTAGCCCTTTGCAGTAGAATAGAATAATGGCAAAACAAGCTGCTTATGGTATTTCCTTCCTTCTTCCTTTCAACTTTTCCTACCCTTCTGCACACAAGATTTTGCAAGGCTCTCCAAGATAGTCCTTTGAAAAAGGCTTGGAAAACAATTGAGGATAGTATATGTGGTTGGACAGCCAATCCCACTTCACAAAAAGAAAAGAAAATATAGTGGTTTCTTATTTCCCCCTCCAACCAAGGGTTCATTGTCTGCTATAAAACTGCATAAGCCATTTGTAATCCGGATAGCCTGGCTGGGAAAGAGCTGGGAAGGGTGTAAGGCAATGTTTCTCAACCATGTCAACTTTAACATGTGTGACTTCAACTCCCAGAATTCCCCAGCCAGCACCAGTGAGAAATACTGGTGTAAGGTAAGTATTATTTCTAAAGATTGATTTTTGAAACGCTGATATTGGGATGGGAAGAAAAGTATGATCCATTTAATGCCTTCCCGTCTTGCCAGCATAGCAAATTAATTTCACAGGAAGTGTAAAGTTGGACAAGGATTTGAAAAGCTGTGAAGAAAATTACAAAAGCAGCAAATTATTGAACTTTCTCTAAAAAAGAAAGAAAAGGAGACAACTCTGGATTATTTTACTGGGGGTGTTCTGTCTTTTGATTGCTACTGTTCTGTCTTTTGATTGCTGGCTGAATATAAAGACAGACAAACATACTCTACAAAGGCTTCCATACAAAGTTTCTTTATTGGGTCACAGGGCATCCTCAAATATAACTCATGGTTATGTTGAGATCCATCTAGTGTCCAATTCTTTGAATAGTTGACTTCATAGTGTAAAATTATAGTGATCTTTCATCCCATAACGCTGGAACAAAGGGTGAGACACCAGCACGGTGCTGGGGTCCAAGCAAGAGTAAAGGAAACTCCCCCAACCCAACCAAGGGTCAGTTCGGTGACCAATCAGAATTACAGATGTGACCACACGGCATGAACTACATTTCCATGATGCATTAACTACATTTACCATGAGGCATTCCCTTAAGGGGACAGCTCCCAATTCTAACTTAACTACCTCAATTCCCAATTACCTATATACTGTCTGGACAGCACAGGGGGGAAATTATAGACTTTTTCAAATATAGAAAACAATACGGGGAGAAATTTTTATATGAATAAAGCATAGTGAAGCTGCCCCCTGGGTAAAGCAAATTTGATATTAAAGCACAGCAAATCCTTGATTTAGTGGGCTTGGTATACAGTGAAATATTTTTGTTATATTTTGACTTCACCTTGACTCTGTCCATTAAAGTTTCAAGATACAGCATGACACTTATTTTGTCAATTATATAAGTCACAATATATAAGTGAGATAAATCAAAGCAAATGATGGAAATTTGGATTTAATGGACATCCCTTTCCCTGAATGATCCAGTCAATCCAAATGTCTATATTTTGATTCTCTGTAATCCATGGTGCCTAAAAGAATCAGCTCTTCTCTTCCTCTCTATAATGCCTAGGCTAGAGCAACTGGGAGAGGAGGACTGTGTACAGCTGTCATGGCTGTCCAGTAGTTTATTTAAGCAAAATAAACATATTGAAGCAAATATGGCACATTATGATGTCACAACCCAGGTTCATGTGGAGAAAGAAGTATAAGAAACCAGCATGTATCTCTTTGTTAGATTCATATTCTGCCTTTTCTTCTGGGACTCAGAGCTATCTTTTTCACCATTCCATCTTATCTGAGCTTGGCTTTATTCTCCAAAAGTGTGAATTAACCCTCATCTCTCTGATTTCACTAAAATCCCCCTCCCTTTATTCAGCTCAAGTTCCCCGAAGCAACCCCATTCCTGCCTTAACTATGTCTGTTTTTTCCAGCCTGCTGCCTCTTCCTCTCATATTTCCATGACATCATCCATCTCAGCAGAAGTTGCAGAAGGACTGTAAGAGAACCATGCTGGTGACCTCATAGTCCTGCTTTACGAATGCAAGACTGCACTAGGCCTGCCGCGCACCCCGCTATCCAAAACTATTTGTCCGCTTTATCCTTTTATTCTTTTTGCATAAAATGGATTGTGAATTGGAATTTCCACCAAAGGCTTGCTCATTGGTTTTTACATTTCCTTCGTCACATGCAGACTGGCAAAGTGGAACATTTTCCCTCCCTGTGCACTCATGAATAAAGATCTGCCAAGAATCCAACTTGTGTTAAAATGGCAAATGGGTATGCAGCTAATGAATGTAGCCCAAGCTTATGCCAAGATGGGATAGTTACTAATGAGTAGTTCTCATATCTGTAAAGAGCAATAACTGATTCTTCTACCCAAAGACAGTATAGATTTTTCAAATACATGTGCAATACTCCAGGAGTTCCAAGAGCTGCTTATGTATATTTACATACAAATGCATCTACATACCATATTTATGCTGGCAATTTGGTGCACTCCTCATCCACAATATTTAGTGCATGATCCTGGCTTTATTCTGTCCTCCAATAATTTTCTACTAGGCCTAAGTAATTCTGTTATCTGTTTGAATTGAATGTATTTATTCCTATGGCTGCTTCTGGTGCAGGGTTAACAGAATGAGACATCTAACAAAACAAAGTATTAGTAAAATCTCTGCATGAGTCACTGTGTTGAGACCTTGCTTTGTTTTAATGAAATAAATGCAAGAACTTAATGATTGCAATTAAGTTCCCCAGTGCAGTTTAACTCTTTTTAGACCTGGTACCTTCTAAAGTAAACTTTTTAAAATGTGAAGATTAAGTAGATTTTCAGTTTTATTCTGAAAGAGAATGCTGCATCAATTGTTTGGGATAAATTATCGCATCTCATAGCAAATCCTGTGTATGTAACAGTTCAAGGGACTAGATTACAGTATATACTGTATATACAGGTAGTCCTTGTCTTGCAACCATCAGCTTAGTGACTGTTCGAAGTTACGATGGTGTTTTAAAAAGTGACCTATGATTGTTTTTCACATTTACAACCATTGCAGCATCCCTGCGATCATGTGTTCAGAATTTGGATGCTTAGCAACTGGCATGCATTTATGATGGTTGAAATGTTCTGGGGTCATATTTTGTGACCCTCTAACAAGCAAAGTCAATGGGGAAGCCAGATTCATTTAACAATTTTAATAGAATTTTTGAGTTCAGTTGTCATAATTCAAGGACTACGTGTCGTATAACTTACTTGGAAGACTGCAATCTACTGAAATAATTTGCATAAGTATATTCAGCAGAAATCATTGGAGATAGGCAGTCCTTCAAATAGCCCCATGCCATGAAGGGACTTAGAAGTCAAAACCAGCATTGCAAATTGCTGGTTATAAATCTATTGGCCATAAGTGCAGCTTGCAGAGCGTAACGTGTATCCTACATTGCAGTGCTGCATTCTGGACCAGCTACAGTTTCTAAGTGGTCTTCCAGAGCAACCTCATGTAAAGAACATTGAGGTTGTCCAATTGGTAGATGCAATAAGGTCAGATCAATATTTCTGCCTTATCACCACAAGACAATCCCAGACATGGACTCTTATCTGTTTCTTTAGCTTGCTTCTTTAAATTCATCCAGTGGGGCTCCAGGCATCTCTTTGGGAGCTTTATCTTTTGGAGTTTCTTGGTAAGCCAAGGAGCAGTCCCCATTTGGCAAACAAGAAGAGGCCATGAAGGGAACATGTTCCAATATCCAATCATTATAAGCTGTGACCAAGGCCTCTGCCAAATTGCCCACTCTCATTCTGGAATCTCTCTGGACTCATAAATTGCTTAGTGCAAACTAGTCAAATAGGCTTTGTCTACCTACAGCACAGGAGGTGGAGGTGTGGCACCAGTAAGTCAAGCAGTGAGGTAGGAATTCTCTTCCAAATTGTTTTAGAAGCAGACGCCTCATTGATTTTTGGGCTAAAACCATACAGAAATGGAAAAGTCGATTAGTGAAAACATAGGCCTGCTGTTTACAAGAGATGAACTGATATCTGTGAAATCTCAAGTTGAATTGATAAATTATTTATATATAGGTTGTTTTATTCTTATTTGCTGGCATATTTTTTTTCTAAGCAGGGATTTTCCAAGTATATTCCTTAGGATTCTCAGCATTTTAGGAGTCCTAATTGAACAGATAACAGTAGTGTGGAGACATGGTTATATAGAGATGCATGTCCAAAAAGTTGGTCTATCATCAAAAATTCCTTGTACTGTACAACCAGCCATAGGAATATATAGCCCTTCCAGGATTTATTTCCATGAGACACAACTGGTAAAAAACTTCCACAGCCCTCATTAGCACACAAAGCAAAGTGAAAATAAGGCATCAAGCCCATTGTAAGATGTGCTGTAATGGATTCTATCCCCTTTCTGGGATATTACCAATATTAATTCTACTTAGTAATGTTTCTTTAAGAAACTTTAATTGGGAAGTGGTAGACTAGAAACAAAAAGAAAAATATTTTTTCAAAATTATTTTGATTTTTTTAAAATATAGCTGATTGCATTTTTAAAAAATAATGCAAGGAGTTTTTTTAAAAGATGTATTTCAGAAAGATGGATAGGTAGATAAGACAAATCCTTTGCAACTGAACATCTGACTCTGACTTTTTTGCAGCTTGTTAAAGAACTTCTGGAACATGATCGAAGCTAGAGTTTATAATAAAGCAAATTAAGTACAGAAATATATATTTTATATAAAGAAAAAACAATTTGGAAATGCTGTGTTCTGAATCAACAAGAATACAACTTACTCCATCATCTGCGTTGTAACAAGTCCTTTTTGAGGCTGTAGTCTTAGTCATTCAATCAATGATTGAATATTTTGTTAAGGATTTACAAAAATTGTAGGTGACAGGCAGTGCTTTAGAAAAGAGCTACTTAATTTTCATTCAAATGCAAGTCTGGAATGCCTGCTCTAAGATGGTGCTGTTCCAACATATATACCATATATACAAATAACCGGCTAAAATATGCAATTATCACTTATGGTACTGCAGAACTTACTATATTCCTAACAAAAAGCCATGAAATGTACAACTGTTCAGCATGTTGCATGTTTCCTAATCTAGGAGTGGATATAACTTTATAAGATATTATTTTTCTGTGTGTGTTGTTTGTGTGCAGATTTAGGCAGTAGCTCAGATTTTATTCATACTGGAATTAGAGGACAAAGGCTGAGGCTGAGGCTTTGCTAAACCATAATGCATTACTGCAAAGAGCTCACTTGGTAAAATATAGAAATTTGCCAAGTAGTGAAGAGAACTGTATTTATTCCAGTCCTGTTTCCCATAGTAGGTGGATGCAGTGAAATTGTCCTACATTTAATAGAATATGCAGGTCATTGTCATATCAGTTAGGAATCCACTGATAATGGATGATTAATTATCCAGTTTAGTATGTTGCTGCTTACTTTAAAAAAAAAACCTGTCATTAGCCAAAGCATTGTGAAGAAATAAGGAATCACATCCTATTTGAACATACAAGTTGTGCTGAGCTTCAATGGATCTTCTCAATATTCCCTTTTCAAAACAAATATTTTATCACTGTTCACATTTTTTCTAGGCTACTTATGTCTTGGCCAGATTATCACTTTTGCAGGAATGACAAATCTATAAATTTATTTAATTTTGTTTTCTTTTATTTTTTTCCTTCTCTCATGTAGCTATTCTTGGCATGCATACATTGATGAGTAACCAACAATATTATGAAGCACGAGGGACGACAACTATTGTCAACAAAGAAGGATTGGACAGTAAGTAAGATTTACAACACTATAATAATCTAACAAAGGGAGTCAAAAGCAGCATTTTTATAATTATAGTTAATAAAACAGTATAGATTCAGATTAAATCCAGATTCAAGAGAGGAAAGCAGATTCAGAATATGTGAGAGTGCTCATGTCATACTCTGTGAAGGCACATTAATTCAAAAGGTGCCAACAGGTATGTATGTTTCCACACTATTCAGAATCACTTTTTCCCTTTCAAATCCAGATAATTGCTCAACACTTATATTTGTTTTTTGTCCCCATATAATTCAGTGTGTTCTTACATTTAATGAAAAGAGCAGAAGGCAGTGAAAACAAAGGAATAAACATGAGTTCCAAGTGGCTCCAAATATCTCAGAGTCCTTTTGAAGATCAGTCTAACAATTAGCTTGCTGCTTGGGAGGACTTTTCACCTGTTGAATTTAAACTCTGTAATATTAAATGGAACTGCTTTTCTCCCAACCTTGTCTCCATGCATTTTTTTTCTTTCTGTCTCTTGCCTTCTCTTATTAAGCATCTCCAGAATCCAGTGCTTTCATGGAAATTACAAAAGCAGTGTTGTGCTGTTTGCAAGGCAAATTTTGCCCCTTTGTGCATTTGTGTAATCACAACATAGAGCTTTTATGGACCGTACCTTTTAATCACTGAATCTTCCTTTTCCTCCTCAGAACAACTTTCCTCTTGCTCCAGCTCTATTCTAGTTATTTCTTTTTCTCTCTTTGGTGTGTGTTTCTATTGGAAGGAAGGAGGAGATTATGTCTGCATGTGTTTGTGAGAATGATTTGCATTTCTGAGTAAGAAACAGAATAGTTGGTATCTGTAGATAGTGTTAATTAAATCTGTGAATGCATCTTATTTTACAAGCAATAATTTTAATTAGTAGTTCTTAATTCAGTTAACACCTTTTTTGCATAGTTCCTGCTCTGTTTTTGAAGTTCTAACAAGTATCTATACACAGAGAAAGAAATAGGTCAATAGCTTATTGTCAGGGCAGTAAGAATCTCCAAATTTGGTTTCAATTGGAGTCAGCAAATCTAGTTTGATAAGATGGGGAAGCTGAGCATTTGGATTTGCTGGAATTATAAGTTTTCTTCTCCTTAGTTTTTCTTTCAGAGAATCATCTTTAATTTTTAGGTAAGGATGCTAATGGCACTTGTGTAAAGTACATTGATCACGTTAATCCATATCTCCATCTTTGGAGTCATATGCCCTGGGAAAAGTCACTTCTTTGAAATAATCTCCAGGGAACGTTACTGATTAGTGCTTTCTATCTAGGATTGATTATTATAGAGGAACATATTCTCCTCTATAGAGCAGATCACTTGAGAATGATGAAATTATTAATACTGTACAAATGTTAAATTTAATTGTACTGGAGTTTCAGAAAAATACACATTTTAGAATTGATTAAAGAACCACTTTTTCTAAATACATGCTTATATAATATGAAAACTTTTTCTCCTAATTTCTGGTGAGGGCGAGTCATTTTCATGACATACAATTTGTCATTGTTCACTAAATAAGCAAATACATTGTCAATATCTACAATGAATGTAGATTTTAAAAACCAGTTATGATGAAGCACAGAAAAAATAGCTTTCCTTCCTAGCATGCAGTTTATGCACCAATTTTTTTTTCAACCATGAATTTCAGAAAATAAGACATTCAAATGTATTTGCCCCCTTTTCTTTGGTCTCTAAACTGAAAAAAAAAATCTTAAAAACAAAGTCCAAACAAAATCTATAAATCATACTATTCTCTCAGTACAGCTGCTAAGAGACATAAGACATTATTATTATATACATTTATTTATAAACTTATTTAAATTCAAATTCTTCAACATGGGATGACACATGCCTGCATCTGTCTCCTCTGTGCATCTGTAAGAGGCATATGAAAGCATTTTTTAAAGAAAATAGAATAAAAAGGAGCTTACTTATCAAGGTACCAAAGCCGAGTCTGTTCCATGTCTTTCCAAACAACATTATAGATATTTTCATCACCACTTGGCCAATAAGAACTTACAATTATCAGGGGTTGGTACTGAACTTATTTTAATTTATTTTCATAAGAATCCAGCATCAAAGAATCAAATTCTTCCATTTATACCCTGAGTGAAAGAAATGCTGTTAGAAATATTGTAAACTTTAGGACAGTGATGGCTAACCTTTTTGTCATTGAGTGCCAAAAGTGCGAGAGAGAGAGCGTGCACCCATAATGCAATGCATGCCCGCCCCCCTGCTTATGCGCGCAGGACCCCCCCCAGTGCTCCCCCTGCCTCACTGCGCATGTGCACATGTCTCCCGCAGGAGGCGCACGTGTATGCGCAGTGGAACTGAGCTGGGGCAAATGGCTCGCGTGCCCGTAGAGATGGTTCTGCGTGCCACTTGCGGCACACGAGCCATAGGTTCGCCATCATAGCTTTAGGAGATCAGGGTTGAAACCTACAGGATGAGTAAGAGTGAGGCTACTACTCTTTCTTCATTGTATTACTAATGTCTGATCAGAAGCAAATAGACATGGATCTTTATCTCTTTCACTCATGTAGGTATAATTAAGCCCACCCAGTATAAACCAGTTCCTGATGAGCCAAATTCAACCAATGTAGAAGAAACTTTGGAACGAGTAAAAAACAATGATCCAGAACTTCAGGAAATTAATCTCAACAATATTAAGGTATGGATTCTTTTCTACCTGGGTCTGCCTTGAGTAGGCAGAGGGGGCAAAATATGTATTATGGTCTACTAAATTACTGTGCCAAAAAGATAATAAAGTCAGGTGCAACTCATTTAATGACTGCCTTACTTAGTAACAGAAATTCAGATTCCAGTTGTGGTTGTAAGTCAAGGACTGTTTGTACAGAAATACTGTGATGACCCAGGGTGGGATACAAAACAAACACAGTCACAGAAAACAGGTGAAGCCCCTTTTATTCCTTCGCTTTGCCTCTAAGCTCCAAATATCTTTGATGGAAGATAAAAAAACTCCCACACAGTTACACGAAGATGGAAAAAAGCAACACAAACAAGGCAAGATAAGGGCTGGAGGATGTCCACAGATAAAATATACTGGGAAGGACGCTAAACTCAGAGAGGAACTATAAACTAGAGATATTTACACACTTTGTTCCCAGCATTTGCCTGTACGCAGGTCCATACTCTTATTCAGTTGTCACAGCTGCAGCCCATGTAGAGGATCAAGGACTTCTCATCCTGAGTAGACCATATCTCTCCCTTATCCTCTCCTCCCTGCATGCCCTAGGATGGAGAGGGGATGGGCTGGGTCCTCCTCTGACTGCTCAGCGGCCCTCTGCCCTTCCCCAGCCTCCTCCACAACCTCCAGAGCCCCACTTCCACTCCTGAGAGAGTTCCTTCTCTCCCTCAGAGTCAGTCTCCACCAGAGGCATGACAAATACATTCTTTGGGGTTTATTCATAATAAAGAGGCTCGCTACTGACTTTTCCCAACATTTTTTAAAGATGTCATAGACATAGGCTAACTTTGAATTGTCACCCATTCAAGTATTTACCAAATGGGACCTGCATTCCTTTTTTCCAGCTCAACCAAGGTTTGCTATATGCTGCCATTTGCATTCCCCTCTCCATGACACAGGAAGTTCTACTAGAGCAAAAGTCTTCATACTTGGCAAGTTTAAGATTTGTGGACTTCAACTCCTAGAATTCCTGAGCTAACATGACTGGAGGAGGAATTCTGGGAGTTGAAGTCCACAAGTCTTCATGCTGTCAAGTTTGAAGACCCTTGCTCTGGAGAATAAAGGCAATGACTTTTCCCTCCATTACTTGAATTGGCTTTCTAAAAAGGTATCTTTTCCACACCAGAACTACAGTTGAATCATAAAGTAGAAGTTAAACTGAGATGGTAGTTCTAAAACAATATATATCATTCTTTCCATCAAAAAGCAGTCAATCATTTCAGAGAAAATATTGTTGGCATTAATGTGACAGATGCTTTCCCTGTCTATCTCTCTGATATTTAACATATGAAACAAAGCTGAAGCTGCAAAGAAAACCAAGCGACTGCTGTTTTTTATACATGTTTTGCTCCAGGCACATTTTGGACTATAATTCTAAATCAAGGAAGAATCTAAAGTAATGCAGAAGGACGAAAAGGACATACTACTTTCCAAGTGCAGTTGCTTGATTTTCTTTGCAATATGTTTTACCACATTCTACCATTTTTTTAAAATGAAGTTGAGGTTCTTACCTTCTGTTCCCACTCCTCATTATCCAGGCAAGATGGGTGGTATGTAAGTTAAATAAATAAAATAAAATGATTCCAAATGGGTTTATTTTTTGATTCAGAGTTCAGCAGGGGAAAGGTAGCATAATAGCACCAAACTGACGTGTTTGAAATGATTTAAAGGGTGTTACTGGATTTAGGAGATTCCTGATTCCTTGGAATTTGTGGTTATGTCCCAGTAAAAACAGTTCACATCACCCTTGTCTGATGTTTCTCTTTTAAAGGACATTCCTGTGCCTATTTTGAAAGCCTATGTTGAAGCTCTGAAGACTAACACCTATGTGAAAAAGTTCAGCATAGTAGGAACAAGAAGTAATGACCCTGTTGCTTTTGTAAGTGTCAGATGACTTGCACCTAATCTTCTCAGGAAAGCTTTTATTGGGATTACCTCCTTTAATGACTTCCTATTTGGTTGAAATCCAAGTCTCATATAAGAACACTGCCTTTTCACAAGAGGGTGATCAAGATGGGGAGGAGATTGGAAACCAATTCCTGTGAGGTACAGTTAAAAGGATGGGTACATTCAGTCTGGAAAAGAGATGATTGAAATAAGATGTGATAGTAGTTTTCAGAAGTAGGGTTGTCATATAGAAGAGGGAGTGAACTGGTTTTCTGCTGGGCTAAAAACTAGGACCAGAAACAGTGGGAGGAAACTATAGAGAAGGACATTCTGATTAGTCATGGGATGTATTTATTTTAAGGAATTTCCAGATAATAAGAGTAATTCCAGGTAATAATAATTATTAGAATAGGTTGCCTCATGAGGTAGCATATTTTTCTTCACTGGAGATCTTCAAACAGAGGCTGAATAGTTCCTTGTCCAGAACGCTTTAGCAATTCCTGCACTGAGCAAGAAATTGGGACATATGGCTCTTTCACACAGCTCTTTGAACTATGCTATTTCTTATTCAGTGGTTCCGGCTTCTAATGAATCATACTTGTTGTAAGCTGTTTGTTTGACTTATGACAGACGTGGTTGACAGAAACAGAAGAAATTGGGGCAATGGGTAAAGAAGGAAGGGGACTGAGTATGTTAAGCTTCCAAGCTGTCAACCTCTGAGGAACTCATTCTGTAAATTCTACAGTGGAAAGATCCACTGAAAGGCTGCAAGTTCTTAGAACAGAGGTCTCCAAACTTAGCCACTTTAAGACTTGTGGACTTCAGCTTCTGGGAGTTGAAGTCCACAAGTCTTAAAGTGGCCAAATTTGGGGACCCCCCCCCCCTGTCTTAGAAGAATACAAATCCCTACAGCTAAAATACAGCCCCTTTAAAAAGGTAACTTATACTCTTGAGGCTTGTCATGTGTTCAGTCTTAGGTTTCTTGGTAGCAGAGCTGTACTCTTTACAAAGAACTCTCTATCTAATCATTAACCAAATTTGAGGACTTCTATTGTTGCAAATGAAGGTAAATATATGTGTCCCAGGATAATGTTGCAGGATCAGAGTCAGTCTCCAGGACCAAAGCTTTATTCTTTCACGCTGTTCAGCTCATGCTGGAGCCCATCATTGGGGAACATCTCTGGAGAGAGAGAGGTTGATGAACTGCAGCACAAGTCCGAAAGTTTGGAAGAATAAAGCTTTGTTACCAGTGACTGACTCAGATTGGATCCTGTAACTTCTATTGTTACCCTCATAGCTGATTTCCAATCACTAAAAGCTAATTTCTATTTTCACATGAAAAACAATCTTATGTTAATTTGTTCATTATTAGATTTATATCCTGCCTTTGCTTTGTACAACTTCCTTGGGCTGTTGGTTGGCAGCTGTGAGCTGAACTAGCCAAAAGGTCTAATTTAGCAGGGCACCACTAATGTTCCTCACAATAACAACCCTCTGATGTGTCAGAGCTTCTTTGTGGGTTTCTCATTCACCCAAAAGATAAAATAGAAAACTCTGGTTTGAGTCAGTAGTGTAATTAAATTATGACAAAAAAAGCATTCTTATATTAATGATGCTGTCATTAAACCTTTGCTTAAAGTTATTAGTAACAAGTATATACAAGTATTTTGCCTTTCTCTTTGTCTTCTCTTTCACTGGAAGGTGTTGGCAGAAATGATAAAAGAAAACAGCGTATTGAAGAGCTTAAATGTGGAATCAAATTTTATTACTGGATCTGGAATCCTGGCCCTGATAAAAGCACTGCAGAACAACACAACACTAATTGAACTCAAAATTGACAACCAGGTAACCTGTGTAGAATAAGACCGGCTTCCACCAAATTTTACAACCCCAGCATTAACTACCTCTTCCATTTTAAATCTGGACTTCGTATTACAGCACTGAAATAGAAGGACACTTGAGGATATCAGGGGGAATAGCCAATGAGCATTACATATGCTTGTCTTTTACATTCAGCTTAGAGATGAAACAGGTCTGTGTAGATCAGTATTTCTTAATCTTAGCATCTTGAGGCTGTGTGGACCTCAACTCCCAGAATTCCCTAAGGAGTTCTGGGAGTTAAAAGTCCACACAGCCTCAAGCTGCCATGGTTGAGAAATACTTGTCCGTACTGTACAAGGATGATGGATGTTTCCAGGTGGCTACAGTGCTTTAGAAATGCTATGTGTACTTTCATTCTTTGATATCCTCAATCAAAGGCTTCCTATTGCATGTGGAGGGTGTGGGAGTGTAAATGACACCTGGCATAAATGTCTTTTATTCTATCCTGACTCCTTAAATTGTTGGTTGCTAGAGCAATATATTATTAGAGCAGATTCCAGAGAATTTTCAGTCTAGATTTCTTTAAGGTCTAAATTGTCTAGATCTTAATTTCTCCCAGACAAACCTGGGTCTCCAATATTACAAATAATTCTATTAGCCTCTTTCTTTATAGTTTTGGTAGGTTATCATTCCTCCCATCCCAGTCACAGGCAACTCTTCCTCTTATTACCTCTTCCCCCTTTTCCAGCATAATAGAGGGGGCCATTCTGCTCTCTTTTGATGAACTTTCTCCTTTGTACTGCCACATTATGTAGGCATAAACCTGCAAGCAGCTAAAATTCAAGTGTTTCTATGCTATTTTTTTTCCTATTCTTTTTTTAAGTGCCAGCTTTTGGGCAACAAGGTAGAAATGGAGATCGCCAGTATGTTAGAAAGGAACACCTCTCTCTTGAAATTTGGTTATAACTTCACTCAACAGGGACCCAGACTTCGGGCCTCCAATGCTATGATGAACAACAATGACTTAGGTGAGATTTTTTTTCATAAAAGTATGGGTTCTTGGGGTGGACATGACCATGTTTCTTGATTCGTTACTCCAAGAGATAGCATGGTTATATATTAGCTTTCTTTAATTGGCTGGTTGAAAATTCTGGGAGTTGTAGTCCAGCACTAACTGAAGAACATCAATCTGGGAAAGATATTGTTTGTTGGCTCCCTAGTGGGCAGAAGAGGTTGCTTTTTTAAAAATCTTTTTGCAGTTCATCAATTTTCCTTCATTCAATATTTATGGGGGTGGAGAGTGCTGGATTCATATGTGGGAAGGATTTTTGTGAGGAATGCAGGGTGAATGTTGCTTGAGATCAGATTTTACAAAAGAATATCACAAATTGGCATATTAAAAGGAGAGAGGCCAAGATTCTACCTAGAATAATAAAAACAAGCCAAACAAATAAATAAATACAAGAAATGGACTCCTTCATTAGAATTGCAGCTAAAGTTCCTGTTTCAGTTGGAAGCTTTGACATATGTGGAAAGGTAGGTCTTGATTTTTTTTTTAAATGAAAAAGCATCAGAGTTTTAAAATGTGGTCTCCTTGCCTCAATTCCCTGGCAGCTATTCCTGCAGTATTCAAAATATGAGTTTGACATTGATTTTGTTTAGGGTTTTTTTTTTTTTTTGATGTTGCCAAACTTTTCAAGAGAAAAAAAAGCTTATATCAAGTGGGATGTAATTAGTGGTAGATGAGCCTGCCTTCAGATGTTTCCAGTCACTGGTCTGGGACTCTGGACCAGTACTACCTGCTGTCTTAACTTGCAGTATTTCTTCATGGACCTGGAAATCCTTTTATAGAAAATGATTTGCATTCAGTCAGGACAGTTTGCATGTAAAGCATGCAGCATATACAGCGTATAAAGACTATAGAGAGAGAGAGATATTACAAACTCTCTAGCTCACAAACAGTGGGAAATCTTGACCTCTTGTGGAACTACAAATTAGCTTAAGGGTTTCACTAGTGCTTCTTATGGAAGATCAAACCTATTGAAAAAGGACCTGCTCTGCAAAATATGCTGTGCCTGTATTATACTGCATTTATGGAAATATGAAGAAGAAACTATATGGAGCTCAGGGTTGACCTGTGGAGTCTTTGATGCTCTCTGAGCTTGGTTGTTGGCTTTCAGACATTTCATTACCTGACTAGGTAACATCCTCACTGATTATCATCACTGATGACGTTACCTAGTTAGGTCATGAAACATTTGCAAGCAAACAGCCATGCTCAGAGAGCACCAAGGATTCCATAATACACGAAGCTTCTGTCATTGATTGGATGAGCAGAAGTACTGTAATAGCAAGGAAGAGCCCTATTACATGGGGAGCAAGCTGTCACGATGATTTATTAGTCCGGATTTTGTAAGTAGAAGCAGATGTCAATTGGCTGGGGACTGGTCTCAGTTGACCTCCTTGGTGGAAGAGCTCTACAGAAAATATCTGACTTAGTTCTTATTTGCAGCTCGTATCCATCGAAGTGACGGTCCCTGACATAACACCTCAGCCCTGGAACTGGAAGACGTATAAGTATTTCCCTCCAATCCCCTCTTGGCAATTGCTTTACTCTCCTTCCCAGATTGGGAAGTAGTAGTGCTTCTCTGCTACTCCACTTGGTTCTGACTATCCCCTTCCACTTCTGTTCATAGATTTCTCTAGGATGTCCTTTTTTTTCTTCAGAAATAAACTGTCTTATTGGAAGGAAAATTCCTCCTATCTTCATGGTTGAATGACTGTGACTCTTGCATTCTGTCCTTGCTCTTCCTTTGCCTTCTGCTTTCTTTTGTGATTGACTTTTGCAATTGAATATCATGTGATTTCAGAAGGGAACAATAGTTGTTTAAAAACAACCTTTCTCAATGTAGACAGTCCCAAAGGTTTTCAGCCCAAGCACAGATCATGTAGCTGTCCAACTAGGACTAGACCAGGTGCAGCTCCGGTGGCCTAGAGGTGGAGCTCTCACCTCACAATCAGGAGGCTGTGAGTTCGATCCTAGGTAGAATATTTGGAATAGACTCTCCTGCTGGAGCAGGGGGTTGGACTAGATGACCTCCAAGGTCCCTTCAATTCCATCTGATAAAATTCCATCTGATCCCTTCCATTCAATCTGATAAAAACAGGGCAGCACTTATTTTTTCAGGAAAAAACACCTGGTGGATCCGTTTTGTGAAGAGTTACTTCAACAGCTGGCATTTAACTTGATTTTTCCAACCAGGTGAAGATATTTAAATGTTTATTCCCATGTACAAGACCTTGTAGTCCTTCCACAGTGGGGGAAAAAATCAAACTGCTTGATCGTTTCAGCCATAAACTTGTCTTTTGCACCCTTTCCTTTCAGTTGCAACTCTTCTAACTAGAGTTGCTTTTTCCTGAAGAATCGTTAAGTGGGAAACTGCAACCAGAGTTACTTAATTAAGAATCCAATTGGAACTAATTTCTGCAGAAATTTGGAGGGGGAGAGAAGAAATAAAGCAAACCTGCGGAGTCGAGTTTTCTTCTTAGTCTAATCGCAATGGACAGTTACATATTTTAAGTCAGGGTTTTTCAAACTGGGCTGTCCAAGCTTAACTGAGTTTTGTGGAACTAATGGGATAAAAAAAACTCCGCAAGGAACAAATGAGAAAAAGAAAACTTTGAATACAGCTGACCATATACTCTCACCTCAACAATGCTCTTCAGGGGCATCAGTAGCAACACTGTCAGGGCAAGGATTGACAGTTGATATGAGCAGCTTTTTTGATCAGGGATTCTGATTCCTCCCCCCCCCACACACACAAAAAAAAAACAGGTTCTGCAGCCTGAAAATTTGAAAACACCTGCTCTAGGCAGAGGGTGTGGTCGTCTTGTGCATATTTGCTTTTTAGTTTGCTTAACATAAGGATTGCTTCTGATTTGATAGCTATAGCTATAGCTATTGCACTGTTGATTTTTTAGAATTCTAGGAATTCCAGTTTCATTCCTGGGGGAAAGGATGTAATAGTTCTTAGTACTTCACAAACATACGTTTTCCAAGAAGATTGATTAGCCACAATAAAGGCACAAAAGGAGCCCAGGCAATTAATTCGGCCTAGGTTAGTGTTTTCAGACATTTGATTTCTCTCTTTAAATACCCAACATTAAATTGGTGAGGTTTGTTCAATGATGAGAGGTTTTAGTATTCTAATTGTTGCACCCGGGGTGACTTTTTCCTTCTCTCTGATGGTCTTGTAATTCAAGATATTAGAGTATTTATAGACCTCCCTATTTCTATACATAAGGCATGTATTCTGACCTCAACTGTGTTTTTTTTTTCCCCTCAGTGAGAAAAAGACGACTTGCAGACCTGACTGGACCCATCCTTCCAAAGTGTCGAACTGGAGTGTAGTTTTGGTTGTGGAGATGTGTCTGTAAGCTTGCATTGGTTTATGATGGCTTACAGGAGCAGAGTAAATGTGCGGTGATTTTATGCAGCTTGTTTTTCATACGACACCCTTACTCATGAAAATTTTAAATTAAATAGTTATTTTAGGCAAAGGTCTTCATTATTGATTGGTAGAATATAACATTTTTATTTTTAAAAGAGTAATCCAAAGTTTTAGCCTGTCAATCATAAAAGGTGCAATTCTGAATTCTGGTGAAAGATATCATGGCTCAGGAACAGCTTGAAGTTATAGTTAGATTACAGCCTAGTTTTTGTATGGATTTGTGCGTGTGTGAGTGCTCTGATATGCATGAGTCGTTAGTAACAATAAAAATAGCAATACTACTCTGTAAATGTAGCAGAAGTGTTAAAAAATACTTTATTTTGAAAGAATTAGAAAGATTCGGCTAATTTGACAGCATTTTTATCATCCCAATATACATAATCACTTTAAAGACTTGAGAATTGCAACCAGCCCAGCAACCTTCAGAATCCTAAATTGCAACTGAGCACTTACAATCAACTATTATACTTAAAGCAGCTCACAGCCCTCCAGCACAAAAATATGTAAGGCCACTGTTTCCCTAAGCCAGGGTTTCTCAACGTTGGCAATTTTAAGATGGTGGCTGGGGAATTCTGGGAGTTGAAGTCCACCAGTCTGAAAGCTGCCATGGTTGAGAAACTCTGTCCCAAGCAAGTCACAAGAAAGGCAGCTGCTGAATGGCATGTTGGTTATTTCTAATTTTCCTGAAGAACTGAAGTTAAAATATAGATTAAATCTGATAAATCACACAAGGGTGTGTCAGGCCTCTTTATGCTTGCAAAGTGAACATTTTATTTTTGTATTATGTTTCTGTTTCGCTATCTCGTAGCGATAGTCTCCCTGATCTAACATGCTTTTGCAAAAAGCTGCATGGGATATAATGCTTGCAAGCTTTATTTGAGGCTCTGGATTCATTCCAGTCCATTTGCTCTGCAAGAACAGAGTAATTAGTACCTAGGCAAGATTTGCCAATCTCCCTACACCTCTTCTCGCTGCAGAAGTCTTCAGTACTTCCTCGATGGAGGTTGACCTTCCTTACGTTCTGCAGACAATGGCTGGAACTTGAAGCCATAGAAATATGATTTTGTCTCTTGCCAAATGGGGGTACCATTTGATTTTGTGTCTCCCACTTGACAGTGTCATATTCTGCCCTCCCCAAATGGAGATGAGAGTTCCACAGCTAAGGAACATGGTGAATTTCCATTGATGCTCATAGTATTATTAGAACCTGTAATGATTCAGAGCGGTGAGCATCCAGGAACAGGCATAGATTTAATCTTTGGACTCATTGTTCACCCAAAGAAAGATTGGAGGATTTAAAACAGCAAAAAGGATGACATTATTATTAAATTATTATTATTATATCTCTGTGCAATTTAAGGCAGTATACATAAAGCTTCCTCCTATTTACAGACAGGAGATATTTTAGATGTTGAACATGCCCTTTAAACTTTGAAACATCTCTTCCCTAAAACTGGGGCAAGTTTGACTTGTTTTATGGGAATTAAGGAGCAAAAAGAGCACCTGTCCCTAACACTCCTGAAAATGGATCAAAAGATCGAACCCCTCTTACTCTAATTATATAATATTAGCAACCATAATTCCTATGGGCCAAAGTGTAATCCTCAGGATGAAAAAAGCTCGTCTTAACCCTGCAATACAGCCCAACTCACAGTCAACAAATGACCTCCCATTAGTTCTGTTACTGCTAGTGGGCAGCATTCATAACTGGCACAGAATTCTATGCAACTTGTTAAAATTAATGGCGAATGCATTACAGCCTCCCCTGTTGAATTGAGACCCATTTTTCTATTTCTTTCATTGTTTGTAAATTAGGCCGTTCTAAAGCTTCACATGTTAGAACCTCAAGCTGTCTTGGTGGAAGACTCTAAATATGGTTGAATCCTTGTCCTCAGTGCAATTTCTTCTGAGAGGAATCTAATCACGCCCTGAAACTTCGACGGCAGCTGGAACTGAAGAGCTGCTCAACTGTCCCACACAATTAAACTCCCTCAAATCCCATTAAAACACACCTCAGAACCACATCTCATGCAATCATGAGGGAGTATAACTTCAGGGTGTTGTCAGATACATTCCACTGGTACCCGCTGCCGGGTCCCTGTACATTCACATTCCTCTTTGAAGGTTTGTCTTGAAGGTGCCAAAGCCAGTGTAAGACCTTTCTCCTGGCAGAGAGGACAACAGGCTGTAAGCCCTTTTTGTTGGCATTGCTGGCATGTCAGGACAAGTTGACGGCAGAGCTGAGTAGAGCAAAGACGATACTGGTCCCAGAGTGTTCCACAGTAACGGCAAGCTGGAGGGGAGGAAAGCAAGATTAGATTGGTTAGGGGTATATGGTTACTGCTGACCCTATTTTTCTGACGATCTTAGGCAGAGTATGATTGGGTTCATACAGCTACCAATTATTATCCATGGTTTATTCAGTAAACCACAATGGATTGGGATTAATTGGGAAGCTAAGTCATAAATTGTGCTTTATGAGCACAGTTGTTGGGATCACACAGCACATTTAGCCTAAAACAAACATTCCACATGAGTTATTATGTACTGCATTTAGGCCCCATAATTATTCTGCAAGCTTACGCTAGTCACGAGAGGCTTCTCCTTTTACAGTAAGCCTTAATTTAATGGACTCAAAAGGAGGGCACATCTATTAAATCCAATTGTCCGTTAAATCTGATTATAGGTCATCTGTATCAGCATACATCTTTTGCGTACCGTGTTTCTTAGAAAATCAGACAGGGCCTTATTTTCTTTAGACCCATGAAAAAACGGCTAGGCCGTCTTTTTGAGGCGTGTCTTAATTTCCCCCATACGTGCCTTGCCTTTCCACCGGACTGCTTCTTTAGTGGCCGAAAGGAACACCCCACGTGCATCCTTGCCTCTCCGATGGGCTGTTTCTGTAAGGCCGAAAGGAGCTATTCCTCAAGCTTAGCACAGACTGAGGGAAGAATGGCAGGCAGGAAAATTCCTCCTCCCCGTTTTCCTCCCGTTCTCCAGAAAGCGTCCATTCCAAAACTTCAGTGTTCGGAATGGAGGCTTTTTGGCGAACGGCCGGAAAATGGGGAGGGGAATTTTCCTGCCTGTCATCCATTCCTCAAGCTCCCTCTCCCTCCCCATTTTCCTGCCTTTCGCAAAAACAGCTCCACTCCAAGCCTTCAGCGTATCCCAGGGACCCTACAAGGCTTGTTGTAGCGTTGCGCATGCAAGCAGCGGCATTGCCGTGAGTTTCGTCACACTGGCCCAGCCTCTTCAAGCACAACCCTCTTAAGGATTGCTGTGCCATTGCTGCGAGTTTGGATACATGGGTGCAGCCGCTCACAGCAGGATGCCAGCTGCAGCGGTGTGATGAAGCTCACAGAGGTGCTGCCATTCATGAGTGCAACACCACAACAAGCCTTGCAGGCTCTGCTGCAAGAGGAATGGATAACAGGCAGGAAAATTCCCCTCCCCATTTTCCTGCCTTTCATGAAAACGGCTCCATTCCGAACCTTCAGCATTGCAATCCTGGGATACGCTGAAGGCTCGGAATGCCTCTGCTTCAGCGCAGAATGACTTTTGCCCCTCTTTGTGGCCGAACAGTTGCCCCCCGCCCCCGGTACTCGCGCCACCATTCGTGCTGGCCATGCCCATCCCCTGGTCTTATTTTCGGGGTAAGGGTAATATTAGGCCCACCCCCCACCCCCACCCCCCCAAAAAACTTAGGATTGTCTTATTATTGGGGTGGGTTGTATTCGCTGAGAAACACAGTACTTACATATTTTTTTAAAAAATGGCAATAAAACCTCCGTTTAGCAAATTAACCTTAAATGGGATTGAAGAACAAGTTTAAAAAAATGCCCCTTGTATCTGAAGTCCATTAAACTCAGTATATTAAACTGAAGGTTATCATATTCCTACAATCACAACCTTGTATTGCAAATTAGTTGAAAAATATGGCTTGTCTTCCATTTTCCCATGATAGAAGAAGGGCAGATAAGTGAACTTGAATTTCTCTGGTCCAAACTCAACATTTTAAAACACTTGAGGGAAGAGCAAGTGTGTAACTTAATGAGGTACAGAATGTTCATTCTGGGTTTTAATTGTCTTTGCCCAAGCCATAGTCAGTATGTAGGCCAGGATGAAGGATATGGGCAGTGAGTCAGTCTCTCATTTAAAAAAAAAAACCCCAAGTATAAAGGAAAAAACTCTTGGTACTTCCAAATAATTTCTCCCAACTAGATGAACTGGACTGCAGCCTCTCATTCGGCCCAGCCATCTTGCTCTTCATACAAAGGGCAGCTAATTGAAGGAGGCCAAGCAGGGGGGAGCCCTCCTATAGCAGTTTGCAAATACCTGGCTTACAGGATGCATATAGCAAATGTACCGCTCAGACTGAAAAAGAATATATTTTACCTGAAATGACGTCACTGTTTGAGGAAATGGCATAACGTTCATCGAAAACAAAAAGCTTCCCTCGGTAGAACCCATCAGGAAATTCTTCTAGGTACTTGTGGATGCCACCTTTGAGATGGTACACTTCTGTGCATACACCCTGGTTGAAAGCAACACCACACCCAATATAGTTTTTGAAATTCTGAAAAGCCAACAAAAGATTCTACAATCTACCACAGGTTTGGTTATCAGAACACATGGACTATATCACTTGGCTCTATTTTGTTACGAAAGATTTATTTCATGAGAGCATATATAAACCAAGCAAGGGGGGAATTTTCTACGTTTTTCTTCTTTTTCAACAAAGACTGAGAAGTATTAGAGTCTGTATCAACTAACAGCAGAAGCCAACCTGTTCCATATCCTAAAAACTAACCTAGAATCATGCTAGGCCATTGCCTATGAGCTCAGAGGCCTAGCTCTAGAATGGGTGTCAAACTTAAGGCCTGAGGGTTGAATCTGGCCCGTGGGGTGCTTAGATCTGGCCCGCGGGGCTGCCCAGGAAACAGTGAAGGACCGGCCCATCGTGCTTCTGCCAGCAAAAACGGAGTTCGGGAGGGTCCCGGGTCACCGTGGGCCGGTCCTTCCCTTTTCACTGGCAGAGGCCTAGCAAAATAAACTAAAAACAAAAGGAGAAATGTTTTCCCTTTTGCACTTGAGCATCCATGATGGGACAGGAAAGGAGAAAAGGAAAGAGGAAAGGCAAAAAGAAGGAAAGATGGGAAGAGAGCAAGGAAGGAAAAAGAACGAAAGAGGGAGGAAGAAGAA